ATTCTCTCTTGGAATGTTAGAGGTCTAGGAGACATCAGACGTAGAAGTGATATTAAACTGCTTATTCAAAAATATAGACTCGATATTGTTATTTTACAAGAAACTAAAACAATTGCTCCAAATTTGTTGTGGTCAGGGAGTTATGGGGTCAAGGGATAGTTAAGTTTGAGGGTATTGATGTTGTAGGGGCTTGGGGTCTGTGGATTCTTTGGAATCCCCTTTCATTTCATTGTGTGGGTGTTGAGAGAAGGGATAGAATTTTGGCTATTTTCTTTCAAGGGCCATCTTCCGGAACGTCATGGGGGTATTATTAATTTCTATGGCCCTGTGATTCATTCTCTCAAAGAAGGCTTTCTTACTAAACTTGGAGATATTTTGCTCTCTCAAAATGATGTGTCTATCTCTTTTGGTGGTGATTTTAATTTTATCTGATGGCCAGATGAGACCTCCTCAAATATTGCAATTAACTCCATGATGTGTTTGTTTAATTCTTTTATTGAGTGCTTCCAGCTTTTTTATTTGTCTCTAGTGGGGGCCATTTTTACTTGGTCTAATAGCCGTGCTAATGATCTGATAATGTCCAAATTGGATCGATTTTTGGTGACCCAAGATTGGATGGAAGCTTTTCCTTTTGCTGAGACTTTCATCTGATCACAATCCCATATTGCTTAATACTAACGATAGTAATAATGGGAGTAAGCCTTTCAGATTGGAGCTAGTTTGGTTAGAGGAGCTAGGGGTAAGTCCATTTGGGGGAATTCTATTAGTTTTGAGTCCATCGATTTTCAGCTACATAAAAAGCTCCTCAATGTTAAGCACAAATTGCTTGTTTGGAAGTCTGAGAACTGGTCATCTATTAAAGCAAAAATTGATAATATCCTTCGTGAAATCCAAAGGTGGGATTAGGATATTTAAAAAGTGGGAATTATTTCTGAATTTGATCTAAGTGTGAGGAATAATTTGCTTTCGTCCCTTAATGTCCTTACTAGAATGGAATAGATTTATTGGAAGCAACGATCAAGGGTGAAGTGGTTAAAAGAATGAGATCCTAATACTAAGTTTTTTCATGTTATAGCTAGCGCTCGCAGGAGACAGAATGACCTGTCAGGTCTAGTGATTCTCAGTATTCCTGAAGATGATAATATAGCATGGGAGAACAGTATTGTGTCTCATTTTCATAAGGCTTTTTCTACTGAAATCCCGTTCAAGCTTAATTTGACTGGATTGGATTCCCCCCTCAGTAGCAGACACTCTGGAAATATGGGTTTCAATGGAAGAATTAACGCGGGAGGTGTTTAAACTCCTAAGAGATAAGGCCTTGGGTCTAGATGGTTTCCCCTTAGCAATCTTTCAGCAGTTCTGGCCATTGCTCAAACTAGAGCTGTTGGAGATGGTTAGGGATTTCATGGAGAGGGGGGGTTTTTTAAAGGTGTTAATGCTACTTTTATAGCATTGATTCCTAAGAGGTCGGTGATTTATTCTCTCTCTAATATCAGGCCGATCAGTCTCCTTACTAGCCTATATAAAATTGTCGCTAAAATCATTGTTGAAAGATTGAAGACAGTTTTCCCTATGCTCACTACGGATACACAGCCGGTCTTCATTCAAAATAGGTTGATTTCAGATAGTGTACTAATTGCTCAAGAGTGTATTCACTCAAGATTGTTAAGCAGATAACCGGGTATTGTGATTAAATTGGATTTGGAGAAAACTTATGATAAGGTGGAATGGTGCATACTATTAGAGGTGATGAAACAAATGGATTTTGGTCATAGGTGGAGAAAATGGATTTTTGGATGCCTGTCAACTGCTCATTTTTATGTTCTCATTAATGGCAGCCCGAAAGGCTTTTTCAGGGCCTCCAGGGGCCTGAGACAGGGTGATCCACTATCACATTTTATCTTTACATTGTATGTGGAGTGCTTTAGTAAAATGATTTGCAATATTGTGTCTCGTGGGTATTTTTCTGGATTTTAAGTATCTCAGAATGGTCTTCCACTTTACTTACCTACAATATGCTAATGACACACTCCTCTTTTGTGATGCTAATAGGGAGCAAATTGATAAGATTGAAAGATTCTTGATTTGTTGAGAGGTGTTAATGGGGCTGGAAGTTAATTTTGGGAAAAAGGCAATGATTGGGGTAAATTGTGATGAGGAGCTAGTTAGAGATCTAGCTTTGAGATTGGTTGTAGAGCAGACAAATTCCCTTTCAAATATTTGGGCCTGCCAATCTCCGATGGGCGCCTACCCATTGCTGTGTGGGACAATGTCATACAAAGGGCGTAAGTTAAGCTAGAACTTTAGAAGCCTAAGTACTTATCTCGGGGGGCAGAGTCACCTTGTTAAATTCTTGCTTAGCAAATCTCCCTATTTACCAAATGTCCCTTCTGTGAATGCCAAGGGCAGTAACTAGGCGTATTTAATGTATGAAGCGCAACTTTCTATAGGGCTCATTTGGAGAGGAAAGAAAGTACCACCTTATTCGGTGGGATAAGGTTTGCACACCAAAGAGAGAAGGAGGCCTAAGGATGAGAAGATTGCCGCTTATGAACGCTGCACTGCTATGCGGAGTCTCACTTACAAAGAACAACTTTGGTATAAAGTGCTGCTATCAAAGTACGGAGTGGATGAATTTAGGATGTGGTTAAAAAGAGGAGAGGGAAGGGAGAGCACCTCCCCTCTTTGGAAAGATATATATGCCCTCAAACAGATTTTAGACTGCAATGTCCAATGGCTGCCTGGTTCGGGATCCGTGGTTTCCTTTTGGCATCACAAATGGTTGGATAATGAACCTTTAAAGTATGTATATCCCCTCCTGTTTGATAAGGTTAGTCTTCCCCAGGCTATAGTGGCAGACTTGTTGGAATTTAGAAGCGACAAGGCTTACTGGAATATCACTTTCCCTTATGACAGACTTCAGGGTATCTCTTTCTTCCGCTTCTTAATATGCTACAAGAGCTTGAGCAAAATTTCATTAAGCAACATGAAAAGGATAAAGTGGTATGAGAAATTGAAAATAATGGTCAGTTCTCTGTTATTATAAATTACTTTTCTTTGACAGAGTGCGCTGGTCTCTTCCGAAGATAAAGCAAATATGGAATTAGTCTATTACATATAAAGTGCAAGTCTTTCTTTGGTTGGCGGCTCAAGATAAAATCATAACTGTTGACAACCTAATTAAAAGAGGGAAGTTCATCACTAATGTTTGCTTGATGTGCAAGGAAGATGGTGAGAATGGGGTGCACCTATTTATCTATTGCTCGTTTGTATCCAAAATCTGGTGGTGTTGCTTTCAATTGTTGGGGATGAACCTAACCTTACCGCAACATGTGTTGGACTTGATCACTCAATTGGAGGTGCCTTTATCGAAAATTGGGACCTCTATTTGGAATATCCTTCATGTTATTGTTCTATGGGAAGTATGGTTGGAGAGAAATCGAAGAACCTTTGAAGGGAAAGCCTGTTGTTTTGACAAGGGTATTAAATAATATTAAAATATTCCTTTAGTCATGGCTAGTTGTTATCAAGGAAGGCATCCAAGGTTGATGTTTTTATTAATCTCTCTAACCTTTTTTAGTTGGATGTGCCTAAAGTTAGACCTTGTACTATATGGAAACCACCTGATCCAAGAGTGCTTAAGCTGAATTTTGATGGAAGCTCGTTGGGTAATCCAGGTCTACCTGGCTACGGTGGTGTAGTATGTGATTGCTAAGGAAATGTCTTAGCTGCATATGATGGCCTATGTGGAATCACTACGGCAAATCATGAGGAACTTCTTGAGATTTTTCATGGCCTGAAAATTCTAGTGGCCAGAAATGCAGTGGCAAATGTTATTATTGAAGGGGATTCGATAAATGTGATTAAATGGTATTTGAAAGAGCAACGGTTTCCTTGACAACTTAAATCCATTGGATTTCAAATCTTCAGCTGATGTCCTCTTTAACCTTATCCTTAGCTCATGTGTATTGGGAAGCCAATGATTTGGCTGACACTTTAGCTAAAAGGAGTGCTTATCTTACTGTGCCTGATTGTTGATGATGTATCTACCTGATTGTTGATGATATATCTGTTATATTGTAACCTGCTTTGATATCAATAAGTTCTAAACTTCAACAAAGAAAAGAAAAGAGGCGACTCATTCGTACATAGACGCAAAGAAATTGTCCTCTAATTCCATTTTCTCATGGGCACTGTTTTCGGAGCTACACACCTATTCATATGTTGCTCCTTGGCAAGTTAAAAATTTGGAACTAAAAAGCTTATAGATAAATAATCTCAACCACCATGATTATGCCTACTCGAAAAGGGCAAAGCATTAGGATTTGAATCCTAAATGGAAATATATAAAACATATACAATGAGATTATTTACTTTTAATACAAAGAGATCATGATCATCACTCCCTCTTAAATTTAAAATCGGGTGGTTGACAATGTGCCGTCGTTTAGACACAAAATTTGTTACAAAATTTCTCAAATGTTATTGCATATTTTCATTTACTAGATTTCATATCGATGAATAAAAGTGATTATAACCTCCTTGCACAAAGCATAAATAGTTTATACAATCCCATCTTAAATATAAATTGCAAATTTTACTTTTGAACTACTCACCATTGTTCAATCTAATTCTCCTCGAACCTGCAGTATTCTTTTGAGCTGCAAGATCATGAAAATGCCTTTGTGAGTGACTTTGATTTTATTTCGTGTTCTAAATCCACATAAAACATGAATTTTTGATAGCACGACCGTATTGTTTGGATGTCACTTCAAAGTTCAAAACCATAGTTTAGTCCAGAGCCCACACCATGTAGCATACAGGAGCTGCATAGTATGCTTTCCATTTCAGAACACATTAGACGTGTACATTACATGCCCTAAACTTTAAGACAATGCATCCCTCTCCTCAAGATATTTAATTTTAATTAAAAAAATGAAATACCCATAAATCTAGAGAGCATCTATTATCACAGAAATTAGCATCTCATAACACAAATATGGATAAACTCCTAGACATGCCTGCTATATTAATCAATGGTTAAGACAGTTGATGGCATGAGGACCCCCCAAATAAAGACACAAACTGCAACTGATGAGACCCAATCACTCCATCACCTTAACCAATTGGATGGTGATCATTCTCATGAACATTGGATTTTCTTCCATGGCAGACAATTGAGGATCATGCATATTATCCCTCTTATAAAACCCAAACAAAATGAATAGAGATTAAAAGAGGGAGCTTTTCACTTGAAGCCTAAGAAGCCCATGTAAATGATCAGCTACCTCTGTCGTCCCAAATATATTTACATTCTATATTTACATTTTAGTTCCTCTCCACAATTCCAGGGAGAAAATTGAAACCTAGTGCACGTGCATGAGAGGGAGATCACTGCAACTTCTTCAAAAGATCATCAATATCAGGAGTCACGATAGCCCGCTTGTTAATTTCGCCCAGGACACAGTACTGCCTGTCTCTGGTATTGATTGCTGCAACTTCTTGGGCAAACTCACACTTGGAGCCTGGAGAAACCTGAAGAACAGAAGGCAACCAATTGATCAACTTCAACTGAGAGAGGGAGATAGAGAGAGAGAGAGAGAGAGAGAGAGAGAGCAATATAATAGTAAAGAACGGAATGATAAGATCCAAACTTTCAACCCCTCATAATAAATATTGGCTCAACCCAAATTTTCAAGATTCAGTATGGAAGTCAAAACTGGTTCTTGAGAACCAAGATTGGTTCATGAGAACCCCATGATTCAAAAATGTGAAACCATACTGCATCAACAAAGTAGAACAACATCCAAACATTCAAATGTGTACGTGTGCGTGCGATGTGTGTGTATGTCTGTGTGTGTGTGTGTGTGGTATAGAGAGAGAGAGAGGGAGAGAGGGAATTATCAATCTCCAAACAATGGGCAAATGAAAGCAATAGGAAATCCCTGGATAGAAATGTTAAATTATTTCTCTCAATTTCTCTCAAATAATGAAATAGACTCCCAGACTAAAAATTACCAAATAACTATGCCAAGTATCCTGCTCAAGGGAGAGGATAAGCTATAAATAAGCTGTAGGACTCTCAAGGGTGAGGGTAAGGTATAAATAAGCTGTAGGACACTCAAGGGCGAGGGTAAGGTATAAATAAGTTGTAGGACTCTCCCCTTTCTTGGACAAGAAAAAACAAATTTTGAAGTTTTGGGTGAAGCAGTAGTTTCCAAAATTATACTTCCTGCTAGCCTAATATATTCCAAGTGTAAGTAATTTCAAGCTAAATAGTATTTAATGACTTAAACTTGGTATCTAAGATGGTCATAGCCAAATCCAAGTCAATTTGCTGGAGTCTTTCAATTTCGATGAAAAGCTAGGTGAGTATTTCAGTTTTGAAAAAGAACTATTCTTGCCAACAAGATTCCCACTTAAGACCAGGTATACACAGGGAAGCACATCCTACAAAAAAAACCCACATCTTTTTTGGTACTGATTCTAGTAATCAAATACAGGAAATTCAGCCAAACCTAGTTCCTTGTAATAAAACTCCGACACCTTGCAAGTCGAGTCTACTCATATGCGTCAGAAAACTTGAAACAAGTTGTGGAATACTCCTGGCTGCTATAAAATGATTATTTTTTATTATCAACTATGTTGCATAAATTTATCGATATGAAAACAACAAGAGGCTTTTTTATCCAAAACAAAATAGTTCACAGCTTGTGCCAATGTTTCAAAACCCGACAATTCCCTATCTGGAACGGGAATTGGCTGGGAGAGAACTGGTTCCGGAAAGGTATCGATACCGGTCAAGTCTCCCCAAAAACAGCCCCTTTCATTATTTTTTTCCTTTTTTTTTAAGCACCTATTTTAAATTTTTATTATTATCATTTTAAAATATTTTTCTGGATCACCTTTTTGGCCCAATCCTAATTGGCGACCAACCCATCCAACACGGATGTGGGGTGGACGATCCACCCCACCGCTCTTGGTTTTGAAACACTGAATCCGACCATCAGAACAAGTGCATTAGGTTGAAGAAGTGTACTACTCCAATAGTGCTTTGACTCTCTCTGGTTGTGCAGGTTAAAGAAGTCTACTACCCAATGAGAGTGATTCATTGACTCTCTCTTGGATAAAATGGTAAAGCAAGTTCAACCTAATGTTGTAATGGACGTGGGTTCTGAAAAGAACACAGAGCCACTCTAAGTTGAGCAGACACAGGAGATCAAGTTGATTAAAAGATGAAGTTAACTCCAGGTGAGTGGGGGCTACCTCATTTGGGTACCCATGTGCTCTCAGAGACATTGGATACCATATTGTTATTCACAATCCGGCCCATACAATAAAGAAGCAAGCAATATCATGTTTTTCAACTATTTCTTTGGATGAGAAAGAAGCAGGAGCACATTAATGGTACCATAACCGTGTAACAATTATTTGAGGCATAAAGATATCAAACAAAGAATTTGGAATAAAAAACAATTGGGTTGCGATTTATACTCACATTGAAAAGAGTGTCACCAATCTTCAACTTAACAGCACCACTCTCATAAATGAGCAGTTTGCCCATAAAACCAGCTTGCAAGTCCTCAAGACGAGAGGGCATCTCTGATTTGCCAGTTCTCTTTTGGCCTGAGTCATCTTGCACCTCTTTGCCATCTGCAGTGGCTGATCGCTTTGGTATAGGTAAAGATTCGGGCAATTGGAAAAATACCAACTGGCGCTCTTCTCTCTCTTCCTATCAAGAAACACCAGAAAAGGCAATCTCCAAATATCAGTGTTTAAAATCCCAAGCAAGGACCTCAGAACTTGCGGAATCTTAACTTTGGCCAGACTTTATTTGTTTTAACAAACTCAGCTGGTCAAACCAGATGACTCAGACTCAATCCTAGCAATTCCGGACCTGAATCCTGGTTTCTTATCACTGCCAAATTTACAACAGACGGGTAGCAAAATCTAGCATATACCACAAGAATTGACACCAATCCCCTAAAATACATACAAGCATATACTACCATTAAGAAATGAAGTGTTCACAAGAGTGCAAACTAATTCGAGAACCAATTTATGGATGGTTGAATAAATCTTCAAGAAACACACATAAAAAAGAGTGCCTACTTCTCATGTGCAGGTAGGGCAGCATGAAGATGGAGTGACGTCAATTTTTGGATGGTAAAATAAACCACTTCAAAAAAACACACACACACGCACAAAAGAAAAAAAAGTAGAGAGAGAAAGAGTTCACTACCTATCATATGTGTGTGTGTGTTTGTGTGCACACACATCGACCCAGTAAGGAGTGGGCCAAAGCCAGAGTGGAGTGACGGATTTGTCTACTGTGAGGAGGTTTTTCTGGTTACTTTTCAGGATATCTTTGTTTAGTAGTTCAGACACAATATAGTTTTTAAAATGGTTTCAAACTCTGGTATAATGTTTGGAAACTGGTCAAATTTTCATGGTTATCTCTTATTTAAAAGATTACCATAGAAGTAAAGCACAGAATATACCTTTAGACCAAGCTCTTCAGCAGCATTTGTAGAATCCTCATTGCAAACTGATTTACTCGCAGCTGACTCCCCAAACTCCTTTTCATCAAGAGTTTCTGGCACAAGAGAGCTGTCATAGTTTTTTTACTATTGTATGACCACATAGCTCAAGGGTAAGCTGAAAAAAATTACAGATGCGTTTGCATATTCAAGACATGGATTTTGGCCCCATTAAGAACAGCAAAGGAAACCGGAAACCCTCAATGGCACTGTTTACTTCGTTTAATAGCAATCGTTAATAGATACAAAAACAATATGAGTAAGCCTAAGAAGATACCAGGGTCCCCTGAGTACGGCCTCCTGAGAGGAAGGGTTACAGGATATTTCGAATAATAATCCTGCAGCCAAAACCAACATAAAAAGAACTTCACTCAGAGAGAGAGAGAGAGAGAGAGATAGAGGGGGAGGGAGGGAGAGAGAGAGAGGGAGAGGACAGAGAGAGAGAAGGAAGGAGGGAGGAAGGGAGAGAGGGAGAGGGAGAAGAGAGAGAGAGAGAGAGAGAGAGAGAGAGAGAGAGAGAAGAACACAGACGAAGACGAGACGAACAAACCTAACCGTAGTACGTACGACTACTTACCTTTCCCGTTTCCGTTCGTTTCGTACCGTACCTTACCTACTAACTACT